ATATATATATATAATTAACTTTTAATCAACTCTTCTTTATTTAAACTACAAAGTAATTTAATTAACTAATGAGATTGACGCCTTGATATTTGAATATTTGATACAATAGGAATGATGGTACGTTTCTGAGAAGAATAAAACCATATATAAAATGAAACCTCACAGCTCTCCCATGCTCCGTACCAACTTTCATGAAATATTTCATATTTTGTACTAAGTTATCTGCTCGTCCACTAAATATCCACATCACCCACATTGAATTCATAAAATGCAAAAGATTTTTAAAATCTATTTGAAAAGTATAACCACCAAAGAAAGTTTAAGAAAATAATAACTATGGCCGACAAAGAAGCAACTTTATTACGTAAGGCTCATTTGTAAAGCATCTTTCATCATTCACGTTAGTTTATGGCCTTCAGTTCAAAAAATTATTCTGTTCTGAGTCTGAATTGAAAAAATCGTTCAAATTATTATATATTTATTAAATATTTATCAAATATTTATAAATATTCAACAAAGATGCACTGAATACTCATAAAATACTCGAGAAGTATTCATAAAATACTCAATATTACTTACAACTAAATATTTATTGAGTATTTATAAATACACAATAAATATTTAATAAATACACAACAAATTCAAATGATTCTCACTATTCAAAGTCCACACGTAATAATTTCTCCTTCAGTTTTACTTCTTGTGAATAGAGAAATTAACTTTCTCACACAATTTAAAAAATAAAAAAACAGGCAACATGACTTTAATAGTAAAAAAAGGATTACATAGTCGTATATAATAATAATAAAAAAAAACAAAAATACATTGATAATAATAGGTAGCCAAAACCTACTGTAGTTAATGCAAGTGTTAGTGTATCTCCAATTTGCCAATTACCAGGACGGATCCAGCTTCTTTATTTAGGGTGAGCAAAAAAAAAAAAAAAAAAAATTTATGAAGGATGAGCAAATATACTTAGGATTGATAAAAGTAGGGCAAAAAAAAAAATTTTTTAGGGGGGGCAAAATGCCCAAAATACCCAAAATATTTCAAAATCTCCCCTCTAAATATTTTAAAAAAAATTTTTGAGGGTGGGCAAATGCCCACCCTAAGCCATGGGTGGATCCGCCCATGCCAGTTACAAACACATCAAGAAGCCGAGAAAAGCACGCTATGTATCGAACTTTAATAGGTACAAAAAAATTGCCAATTTTCAATTGCCATAAGGCTCTCGTAACATGGATTAATTATTTTGTGTGGATGCCGAACGCAATCCAGAAATCAATCATAATGCGTCATATCATCTTTCGCTTGGTGCCGTAACTCAATACTACTCGGTGTCACGGCTCGATATCGTTGACATGATACATTCTGATTAGTCTATGAATGACGTTCTACGTCCGGTCCGCACAGAATAATTTCTCCCAAATTTTAGAACTCGCAAAAGATAATAAAAGAAGAAGCTAAAAAGAAAATACAAATAAAATTAACATAAATATGAGACAAAAATTACAAACAAATGAGGGTTACTCAGCATATCCGCTAAACTGACTACTGGAGATTTGAGCAAGCCTGAAGCAGAACAGGCCCGACCTTCGAAGAAAGCATGTCGCATAGTACATCCTGTACCTCATTCGAGCCATGTTCACAGCTTATCAAGCCTGAGAGAAGGGGAAAGAACTGAACCAAACTCTTGTAGAAAGAATCTGTTCCCATTTCACAAATTACATTCAGAGTTGCAACAACAACCGGTGCTCGTGCCGCAAGCTCTCGTCTTTTTGAGGAACCCGTCGGAATTTGCCACAGAGGCCTGACCTGCTTTCCAGCTGAAGAATCGGAGCTCCCAAGTTTAGCAATGTCGACATATACATGAAGAATCTCTGCGCACAGGTCAACTAGAAGATCGCTTGCTTCTGTTTCCCCAAAACCAGATGGGTTACCCACAACATTTTGTAACAGAGATAGGCAGATGTGATAGGATTCATTCTCGAGGCGCAGTAATGGTGGGTCTTGCATTTGGGTCATCGGGCCCAGATCTATTAGTCTTGATCTTAGCTCACTGTCACCGTTGATTTTATGGGCATGCAATGCAACGCCATGTAGAGCTTCGAAGAGTACGATAGTGTTTTTTGCTGAGAGGGTATCTCTGAACATGTTTACAATCTCTGTGACAGCCTGAAAAAAACAATAGCAGGCTTTTGAAGCATAAGTTTGAAGTTGTAGGAGCGGTGGCCCATTTTCACGGAAAATTATTAGACGCGGATAGTGGATGTAGAGATACCTCCGGACAACTACTTAAATTTTGACATGGGGAGTGGACACATTGGATTTATTTTTTACTTAATATATTTAATGTGTCCGGGGAACTTTAAGTCGAGCGCTCCAAAAGTGTAGGTAAAGCGTAGTAAAAGTGCAGTAAAAAAGCGCAGCAAAAGAGCAGTCAAAATGCAACTAAAGTGCAGGTAAAGCGCAGTAAAAAATAAATCCAACGTGTCCACTCCACGCATGGGCGGACCCATGCTCATCTCAGGGTGGGCAAATGCCCACCCTAAAAAAAAAGAAAATGTACTTAAAGAGGGTAATTTCGATATTTGCCCCCCCCCTCAAAAACATATATTTGCCCTAATTTTATTAGTCTGCCCATCCTGCCTATCATTCAGCCTTTCACGAAATCTGATTTGGTCGCAACTTTGTCTTCGTCGGTTCGCCCTCTCCTCTTCTTCCCATTTGCCGAGAGATCGCAAGCTCCGCTTTTCACAGTCTTCTTCGGCCTTCGCAGACTCGCAGTTGCAACTCGCAAACAAGGTCTTGCTCATCCCCTATTTCGTACTTCTTTTCTGTATACCAGATTATTTCTGTTTCACTATTTGGTTACAAGTATGATTTGAATTAAGTAGGATTTTCATGCGATTATTTTCTTGTTCTTTTGGTCACTGTTTGGTTACATGTAGAAGTATTCTTTTTTAGAGTTTTGTTTTAGGAGATTTCTAAATGTGATTAAGATTTAAGACCATTTAAATTCAGAATTGCCATGGCCGACATTTGGACTCCCGTGATAAAAACACTGGAAAAAAAAAAAAAGATACATCTGAAGTATAGAACAATCATATTTGATGCACAACAAACCGTCTAATTTAGTTAGGACAAAAAATATTGGATAGTTAAGGGCCAATTAAAAGGAGTCGCAACAAGAGCTGAACAATACTATTTTTTTTCCATTCCTATTTATGGCCAAATTTCTCTTTTATATTTGATGTACTTTATTTAAGTTGTCTTATCTTCTTTTAGATAATTTTTAGGTTTATATACGATTTCAAGATAAGTTTGATTTGATTTAGAATTTGAAACACGGCCTTATTCTTATAGCCCTATTGCCATAAATAGGGATTAAAGACTTGCAATTGATATTATTTGTTTATAAATTGACGTATGAAAATTATTTTGTAAGATCAACTGAGTGCTCTCTAGATCAATTTATTTACACAGATTAAACCAAGTTTGCATTCAAAGCGAGGTTTGATCTCTCTTTGTTTAATCAAATCTTAAGAATAAACTCTTAGTTCATAGCCCAATCCTTCAATATCCATCTCATCAAGTTCACAGTCGCAGCTCATCACATGCCTTTCAAAACTTCAATTTCCTTCAAACTCCAATCCATAAATCAACGTATTTATTCCCATAAACTAATTTGCATTCCCTTCATAACCTAAGTCCCATGAGATGAGATCGTCACATCCATCCATGAAGTTGAGCTGTCAAATATTAAGTTAAAGCCTACGCCAAATAAAGTGTGTGAACTTGACAATATTGTTCAGCATGATATACCGTTTCATACAAATTTTGTTGAGAATTTGCTTCAGTTACACTTACGACAGGTTTAATTTGTGATTTCAATATGACTATCACCATCATTTAATAAACAATTTCTCCGACTGCAAATATTTTGTGCATGAAATTTGGAGCCGCCAAGCATGCAAACCACCAAATTGCATAACAATCTTAAGACTTCTTGCTCCTATTTCTCATTAGACAACATGGTCGTTTCTTTCATCAGATGATCCAATGACGCCACAGTGCCACTTCCACCAATTTGACTGCCTCTAGTAAATTCTTTATAAGATACGTTCTTTATTGATTGGGATAGTTGATGCATTATAACTCAAACAGTGGAGCACAAAAGATCATATTTTCACGAGCCACTTTAAAGGAGTTGAATCAGACTATAATTGAGCTAAACCAAATTAGATTTGAAGGTTTTTTTTTTTGTTTGCTTATTTCTATCTATGGAAGAATTTCTCTGATTTTTTTATTAATTTGTTTTGCTTAGTAGCATTATTATTTTTAAGATAATTTTAAGGTTGAATTTGATTTCCAGATATGATTTGCAATTACAAACTTCATCTTATACTTATATAGAATACCCTCATCAAAGATTTCGAATTTCTAAGTTACTCCTAGAACTGCATTCTCATAGATCCCGAGAAAATTCCACCAAAAAAGAATTGATCCTAATATTTCAGTAAGTTATATTGTATGACAAGCTTAGACTTCTTTCATACTAAGAAAGCAACCTAAGTAAATGACTTAAGCTGTGGCTGCAGGGCTAACTAAATATGATTATGTGGATTTATAACATAATACTCCAGACCAAGAATGGATTTGAATGAAAATTTACTACATAAAAAAATAAACCCCAAGTTCAAAATTACCAATGGAGATTTTTTTCAGTAAATCGACATACTTCTGTGTTCTGATGTTAAGTAAAATACAGATGTGCTCAAGTAATGACACAGCACAAGCAGTTAAACTTGCTGAAAGAAAGGAGAGTTTGCTAACCTGAATCAAAAGAAGTTGAACAGCAACACGGCATCTAACATCAGTAAGAGCAAAATATAGGGCTCTTGCCTTTTTTCCTTCAAGTTCTTCAATTGTTGATCTTCCCGATCCTTCAGTACTTGATCCTAAGGAAAATTGTGTTGTCTCTTTAACAACATCAGCAAGAAGGGTGTCGGAAGAAATAAGGGAAAAATCTGGAAATGTAGCGACCACAGCCTCCTTCAATGACAGAACAGCCTCAAGCCACTTTTCCTCAGTGAACAGGGAACCCGCTTTACTGATTAAACGAGTAAATGCGGTAATGCCAATACCAGCCAGGCTCTGATGGGGGCGCTTTATAAAGCTCGTCAGTAACATCAACATTTTCCTCATTAGAGGATTAACCATATCATAATATTTCACAAAGAGATCCACAACTAACTCAAGGGCCAGTTTGCATGTTTCATAAAGCCAGCCATCTTGATCTGATTCACCTGAGTTATCTTCGAAATCCTCTGTTTGCATATTCTCCCCAGAAGGTTCTATAGCATGTCTGACATAGTCAAATAGTGGAAAAAGAACAAAATCAAACACTCTGTCCCACAAAGGCAATGAGAAAATATGGCCATAATTTTCTAATGTATAAAATAGCGCTTGAAGTGCACTTTTTCTTATTTCAGCCCTCATATCAAAGGTAAGCTCTGATAATCCTGTATACAGATAAGAAAAATAGCATTAGCAAATCCTAAACAGATATAACTAGCATAGCTATGAATGTGAGAAAACCATAATTGACTTTCCTAACTCAATATGTAAATAAAGAAACTCATTTGCTCTCCCAGAATACATAAGATGAGAAAAGTTAAAAACAAAATACCAGCCAACAAGGGGAACCAGAGAAGCAAATGATCATCCTTATCAGCAAATCGGGCAGTATTTGTTTTTTCCCTTTTTTCTAACAGAGGAGATGATGGTACATTATTTGCAGAAGCCACCATATTCTTTCCAAAATCTCCTTCAGCAAGCCTACTCGCACAGAAGAGAAGGAAAGAAATTGCCTGGCTACTAAAATCCTTGCTGAACCTACTATTAGTGAAAGCGATCAGACAATTAATGCAATCTGTGAAAGTCGCATTCTCAGTTTCAGTTATGTAAGGGAAGTAATCCTTTATAATCCTCTCGAGAATCTCAAAGGCCAAAAGCACTATGTTTTTGTGCTCATCATAGGAGGCAGTAGTGAAGACCTGCCAATAAGTTATCACAAAGTTCATTAGTTTGGGAAATCACTTGAAGCTTTCCAAGATGTATTTGTAAATGCTAGGATTAAAGGCTAGCAGCAAGGCAGCTTATGAGATTTGCAATACCATAAACATGCTTCTCCATCCTGACTTTACACTCTTGACACGAGAGAATACCAACTGGGAGACACATCTGATAATTAATTCCCTGATTTCAACTGATCTACTCTTCCGCATAACAATGATAAAAGGCTTCATAAACTCTTTCTGGAAATTGTAGTTAGCTAATTCTTCACGATCCAAGAATTTCATTGCTAACTGTCGTAATGAATCAATTGCAAAAATTGAAATTGAGAGATTATCTGAGCAACCGATGGTGACAAAGAAGTCAGACAGCACATTCCAAATGGAAGACCACACAAGCCTGATCCGGCTCATGTTGCAATGCCTGTTTGAAGCAAAAAGATACAAATTACCAAATATCTCTAACATATTCTTAAGATCAAGCAGAACATAAGATATGATTCTTACGAAATTTCAACTATTTTTGTAAGGCTAAACACACGTGGATCAGACATAGAGCGCAACTCCTCCAATGCCACCTTGCAAAGAGCTTTAACAAAATCAATTATTGCCTCACTGTTCAGCTTTTGACTTTGTGCAAATATATGGTTCATCTCAGACATTCCAACTTGTTCCAATAAATGCATGTTGGAAACTAAGTTGCTCATTTGGTCAGATGTGACCATACCAGAAGCATGACCACCAACACCAGCACTATCATATGATCCCCTTCTAGCTGCAGCAGCTTGCTGAAGCCGTCCAGGCCCATTTTTCTTCAGCACAGGAAGGATCAATGACTTCATGTTCTTAGATTTATCGAAGTCACCCTGTTGAATTGCAAAAAATGCCGCATCCGGAGGAGCACCCTGTCCTAAGAGATGCAAATGTTCAAACCGTGAAATACATGTCAAGACATGTTCCCATGCATCTTGCAAGTAATTTCCATCTTCATCTGCAATTAAAATGATTGCCTAAAGAAGCAATGCCAGTATAAAAACGTAGAAATTATTAGAAGACAATAGTACACCCATCCCCACATACTTATAAAATTTTTATATGGAATAGAACAGCCTACATTAGTACCAGCCTTTTTCATTAAAAATGATACAGAAAAATCCGTGAAATCTACAAATAAACAAGCATTAAGTTCAGTAAAAATTGTTATTATTTGCCAAGTCTTAAACAAGATCCTAAATGAAGACACAGGAACAGCAATATCAATTGGAAGTCAGTTTCCCTCGTTTCTTTACCGCCATAATTTTCCCCTATGACTAGTCATACAGGGAGAACAAGCTAACTTTGGATTCATAGGACTCCATCCTTACTGAAGATAAGGATCTACGTCATCAACTAAATAGTTGGAGTTGCCAGTTGGTCATGCCAATTGCCAGGTTCATTTAAGGCCATCTAAACAATGTATAGGCTGCTCATAAATATTTCAGGGCATCAGGCTCAAAAGAAGATTGCCTTATTATAACTGCTTCATTCATGCAAACTTCCAGATATGAAAAGCGCTGTACCATACACATTTTCCGTCCACAAGCAAAGCAATAAATTAACTTCATGTAGTTCAGACCAAGAGAAAAGAGCGGCACCAAATAAGGAACTGTCACATTTCGTGCCGAAGGCATTAAGCAAATGATGAGCAGCAAAGTGATGTGAAGCTTAAAATCCACAATTGGAAATGCAAATGTTTAAATTATGTCGATAAATTTAAATTTTAAGTTTAGAATTTTGTTTTTGTTTTGAATTGTATTTAGCGTGTTGAAACTGTACTTACATTCCTATGAAGAATGTACTTTGCATGAAGGATTGAACTTAGATCTATTCCTAAGGATGATCTATTCGTACTGCTTCTCAATTGCTTGTATAGTGTAGTTCTTATTTTCTTATGTTTTATTTCTGTTGCTTCTATATGGAATTTCAATTTTTGCAGCTTTCCCAATAAAGTAGTGGTTTGCGGCTCCTATTCATGGGGTGCAGTTGGGTAATTGCTTCCTATTGCATCGCTGATTTTACCTACGGCTTTTCTTTTGTGGCTATTCGGTGGCTTTATTGTTCCTTCAGCTTATCCTTTTGTGGCCATTCCAACAGCCTTATCTAGATCATTGCTCTATCCTTTATGTGCTCACATAAGGGTGTATGTGTTCTACGGCTTGTAGACGAAATAAAAGATCTCTTGTTTAAAAGGTCTAGAGTTAAAGTTGAGTAATTAAAATAAAGAGATCCTTTATGAATATTTGTTGGTTTAAGAAAAATGGCTCGTCCGCATGAATCCCACTTTACAGCCGTAGAATTTCATTTCCCTTAAATCAGATTGTAATTAACCATATTTCCCCTGAGGGTAGTGTCAGAGTTTAATTAAGTTTGGGTCCTTACATTCTCATGAGCGCAAGCACTCATAGTTAATTACCCCTCTTAACGTATAAGAGAAAACTCTCAATTAAGGATGAATAAATAATATGTGTTTTAGTCTCAATTGTGGGGAAAATAAATGTAACCCGATCAAGATCTCATGGTTCCGTCGTCCCGGGTATACCGTAGGTTTCAATCAACCAACACTAACAATCATTGATCATAATGTCAAGAGAATCTCAGTAACAGACATAGGTTGCCTCCTCTCAAAAGTCCCGAGTAGATTGAGGTTGTTAGATGTGTATTTTAGTTTTATTGGATTTTGGGGTTTACATCTATTAGAATACTCAGTACTTGGGTTTGATTTAGGGTTTATGTCTTCATTTAGAAGTTACCCAGAAGTTTGAATTGAAACGGGTCTTACGACTTCTATTAGAAGTAGCATAGCTATTTGAATTTTGGTCGGGACTTATGGCTTTCATTGAAAGTAGTCCGTAAAGCGAGTCGTACAGCTCATGTTAGAAGTAGCCCATTAGTGGGCCTTACAAACTAGCCCTATAGGTTAAGCTGCCCGTTAATTTTAAATTTAGTTGACAGATCTTACAACTTCATTAAAAGTTGTCTGTGAGTTTAATTTGGAGTGAGACTTATGGCTCTACTCATAAGTTGCCCAAAGATAAGTATTACAACCTAGCTCTATAGCAAGCATGTCCAAAGATCTAATTATTTGGATAGGTTTTACAGCTTTCCTTTGGAAGTTGCCTAAAAGTGGATCTTACAATCTAATCCTTTAGATTAAGATGCCCGGAGGTTCATATTTAATTTGAGAGGAGTTTCTCTCAGAGAAAAGGTCTTATAACTTCTTTTGACTTTTGAAAGATGCTTGAAAGTAGGTCTTATTGCCTAATCCCTTAGACCAAGATGCTCAGAGGTTTAGATTTAATTTAAGAAGAGTTTCTCTCAAGTAACAAGTCGTATAAGTTCTTTTGGAAGATGCTTGAAAGTAGATCTTACAACCTAATCCTTTAGACTAAAATTGACATAAATTTAATAATTTATTTGTTTGAGTGGACATCAGTTATTTATTATCTTGACACTTACTAGCTAACAGTTGTTGTTGTGTGACACTAGTGTTTCTTGCATTTCAGAGCATTTTATCAATCAAATATATATATATATATATATATATATATATATATATATATATATTGATGAAAATTGTGACTGTCTTTATGATTAGAATCGAACGTTTGACTATTACAACTTGAATGTGAGATTATTTAAGTTTGTGAATAAATTGACTTATGAGACTTATTGCAAAGGCAATATTAGAGAGCATAAGTTTGATAGATAATCTTTGATATTATTCAATGTACACTTTGTTTCTTCTTCGACGGTGTCTACTTTCGAGTAAAATTATGTTGGAGTTTCATATGGCTTACAATCAATAATTTTTATTTTTCGTAATCGGTCCATAAAATATTTTTGTTAAAAAATAAATATACCTTATTCTAATTGAGCAATTTCTATACTCGATAAGTATTTGAATTTTTCCAATTCCTTAATTTTGGATTATTCAACAAGTTTTTTCCTAGATGATTCATTATTTCAATGTCATCATGTATAATAATTATATTATCAACATATACAATGAGAATTAAAATTTTATATATGTAGAGTGTTTTATGAAGATGGAATGACTCCTTAACTTGTTATTTTTCTTCCGTTAGTTTAATTATTGCAATAAAATTACTAATTTTCTTGTTTTTCTTTTGGATTTGTGGATCATTCTTGCTAAATTAATCAAGATAGTTAAGTTTTACTTGGGAATTCCAAGTATTTCCTAACAAATTCCTTCCACTATGCTCCTCGCTTGTCAACTTCAAGTAACAACATGGTAAGTTTCTATAAAATGGTGGCTTCCTTGACAATAACTTCTTGTAAAATGGCAAGCAATTATAAATTATAAAATTTCCCAAAAAAAATATCCTTTTTCCTATAACCCTGTGACATCATTACAACTAATTTTTTATCAATTAGAATGGTGAGTTTAATGGAGAGATAATTTAGGATCAATTTTTTAGAGTTGAGAGACTAAATTTGAGACAATTAATAGTCTGGAACTAAATTAGCAACATATGAATAATTAGGAGTCCATTTTGGACTTCATCTTATATATCATATAAGGAAACTAATACGACGGAAGTAGGGGTACGCACCATGCAGACCTCGGAGCCATTCGACTAACCGGTCCAGCAAATTTTGGCCTAGTGGACATCAGACAGAGAGGGGGAGCAAGTTGAGGGGTGGGGCCTAGTAGAGAATTAAAACATTACATTAAGGGAAACACATTAGGAAGGAGGCTGATTTGGGGGGGCTGAATTAGAGGGGATTAATTAGGAGATAATTCCTAATTGGAGATGGCTTATTTGGGGGCTGATTAGAGAGGGAATTGGGAGAGGGCTACTTTGAAGTTTATTGCTTTATTGTTTACTAAAAATAGTAGCGCTTATGTTATGTTTGTATGCAAAATTTTATTTTGAGTGTAGTAGTTCTCTTGTGTGAGGGATCCTAGTGGCGTCTAAGGTTGGGACTTGAGAGAGAATGTCCTCCTCTCGAAAAAGGATCATTGTATCTTGCTTTGTTCGTGTTTGATTTTCTATCAATAAAAATCTATTTTGTGTTGAATCTTCTAGGAGTATTTTGTTGTTTAGGATACCAATATGTATCAGACACTTATGATTAGTACATCAAAGAACACTAAATATGCAAAAACTTGCTTATATTACATGCAAATAAAAAAATATAAGAATTAGAACCCATACAATAATAAATAAATCCAAATAAATCAACAAAAATTTTGAACAGCTCAAAATCAGTGAACAATTATAATTATTCACCAAAATTAAAATATCAATTGTATTAAATTTGAGAAAATAAAGAACGATAACAATCCAATAATAATATATTTAGAAGAATTTAGTTCAAGGAAAGAGATTGCCAAATAAATCGACACCCAAAATTTAAATCCATACAAAGATGACTTCCCCAAAATTAGATAGTCAAACTTACACTACATTAAAAGTAATCAAACAACCGATTTGCACACAAGAGCGTGAAAAATGGAAGAAAATTTATTCCATCAATGTTTTTTTCAATTGCCTAAGATCAATTATTTATACTCTTCATCCCTGAGCTCAAATATATGGGTGGCACAAAATCAATAATCTATATTCAAATTTATCCACAATCCACATCTACAACAAAAAGAAAAAAAACTCATGTACCCAAGTGAAAGTGACAGCAACAGAAGGTTGAAACAAATCACACATAAGAAAAACAATAACAGTATCCAGGAAATGATGTTCCATAAATTTAAAGTAAGAACACCTGCAAAAAGAGCGAGGCCATAACAGGGCCCACGAAAGTAGAAACTTAACAGCAACCGAAAAAAAAGTAGAAGGCGCAGAAATTCAATAACCCATAGCATTAAGCACACCACTACTAAAGCAACTCACGAAGGGACCCCAATAGGCTTCTTCTGAGTACTTTCAGCTGCTTTTGCAGAAGGAAAAGCAATCAACACAAGATAGTATCGAGTACGGAAAATTTTAGCGGCTTCTCTCCTACTCTTATAGTTTGCATTAATAAGCTGCTTCTGTAAGTAAAATGAAGAAGTGACCGAGAAAATATTTTTTAAACAATTTTTACAGAAAAAACAGGTAAAGTACAAGTCATATAAACCGAAATCTTAGTTTAAGAGAGTAAATGTAAATCAGAATCTTAATATCTTAATACAACAACATCAAGCCTTTATCCCACTACGTGGGGTCGGCTACATGAATCTTTTTTTCTCCATTGTGTCCTATTAAATGTCAAATTCTCGTTTAAATCTAATAAAGAAAGGTCATTCCTAATATTTTCTAACAAAGTCTTCTTAGGTATGCCTCTACCTTTCTTAACATAAGTCAAATCTAATACCTCTACTCTCTTAGACGGGTCATTGGAAGACCGCCGTTTTATGTGACCAAACCATCTAAGGCGACTATCTCTAATCTTATCTTCTACTAGAGCTACTCCAACCTTTTCACGTATATGCTCATTTCGTATCTTATCTCTAAGGGTAAAGCCACACATCCACCTGAGCATCCTCATCTCTACCACACTTAACTTAGTATTATGCTTCTCTTTTAATGGCCAACATTCAGCACCATAAAGCATTGCAGGCCTCACTACCATCTTATAAAATTTTCCCTTAAGTTTGAGGGGTACTTTTCTATCACACAACAAGCCCGATGCATTCCTCCACTTCAACCATCCAACTTGAATTCTGCTGATAATATCCTCATCTATTTCACCATCACTTTGAACAATAGATCCAAGATATCTAAAACATGCACTCTTATTAATGACTTGATTGCCCAAAGTCACAATCCACTCACTAGGTCTATTACTACTACACTCCATATATTCCGTTTTAGATCTACTCAAGCGAAAACCTTTAGTCTCTAATGTTGACCTCCATAATTCAAGTTTACTTTCAACTCCATCTCTAGTCTTATCAACAAATCTTAATATCTTAATATTATCATAAATATGTTTGTTCTAGAATAACTGGCTTAAATAACAATCATAAATATTAAAAGCTTATAGGAAAAAGTTGCAAAATAACATCTCTATCTTTTCATTGAATTCGATATTCAACAAACAAAAAGGTGTTTGATGTGAACCATTCCAGTATTTTCATTAACACTTTGAAAAATCACATAAATCCAAGAGTAAAGAGGATAGCCTAAAACATATTATTGATGCGGGCACACATGTTAAAGTGAAACCTGAATGTGAAGCTCAACAAGATCATAATCATAGAGAAAACCAATTTCAGCTGAATTTAGCACAAGCAATTAAGTATAATCATCAGCGACAATGAATATGCCAATATTACAAAATTGGACTTTATTGCCATGATATTTATTAAATATAGAGCAAACCTTTATGGCGTCAATATTTTTCTGCTTGATATCTGCAGCTGAATGGAGGGAAGTGAACTTTGCCAGTGAAGTAACAAATGCATCTCTTTGAGTCTTCATTGACATTGCTGCAGTAACATGTACAGCATACCTAAATCCTTCAATACATGCGGATAGAACAGATAGATCATCACTCTGGTCAATAGAAACACTAAAGGCAGCCAACATAGGAGCCCAGCAAACCTCCATCATGAATCTCAAAATCACTACATCTGTTGCAGCACAATATACAGACCTGAAAATTTGCAAAACATCAACAATAATTTGTGCTTTCAACTTTCTAAATGGCATACAATCATGTTAGAAAAACTTTGAAGCATCACTCAGCGTAATGGACCAGTTTTAGAGCCTTAGTGCAATGAAAAAGTGTGGGATATGGCCAAACAACACTCTGTGGGGGTAAGTGCAAAAAAACTTGCTCAAGATTAAAAGTAAACAATAGCAAATAGATTTTCTTACTCTGATTTACGAGCCTTTTCCCTAACTTGTTCTTGCATATGCCTGATGACGTCTTCACTGGCTTCATCTGTTTTCTCTCTCCACTTGGGGATGACAATATTCAAAACGTTATCCAAGCCTAATATTTTATTGACGTATGTAGATTGCTGTGGCTGCGGAGCAAAATCATCCTCTTTCATCTTTATTTCATTCCTTGAAATTCTGTCATACAAGGATCTTAAATATTCTTCAGGAAGATCCTTACCATCATCAATTCCACGATTATTTCTTATAAAATTATCTGCAGACATCTGAAGAAAACCATATATATGAAGAATTTGTTAGATACATAATAATAATACCCCATCTTACATGTAAACCACAGTACTCTTTGCACACCTTATTTTTAATCATTGGGTTATGAGCATCGGTATTTAGCATTATAATAGAATATGCAAGAACATATGCAGTATCCGCACTACTAAAAGTCTTAGGGTTGCATTTGCAATAATGTTCTGCAAACTTCTCCATGATGCGATCAATCTTTTGTGCCTCCCCAGGTAACCTAAAGCCATGAAGAAAACTCCTTATAGCCTCATCAATCTCTATGCCTTGAAAATCGAAGGAATCCACATAGGCATGCATGACTTTTATGGGCAATTCTTCTCTTCCTCCCAGATAATCTCCAATCAGGACCTTGTTCAACCCAGATTTACTTTTAAGAAAAGAAGCAATTTCCTCAGCTGAGTCACCAACCTTCTTTGCATTGACAAGAAACTGAATGCCTTTCTTGGGATTCCTATTAAACAGAGATATGCCTTCCTGTCATTAAATCAAATTTGAGTTGATCGGTAAAAGACATCTCAATAAATCAGGCTTGCAGACACAATAAGTCTACCTGAAGGTCCAACATGTAAGCCTGGCATTGATCTATTGCAGCAGCTTCAGAGACTACACCATTTATTGTTTCAGAATCCACTCCTTCGGGGTTCTCAATTTTGCCATTTTCCATAGGTAGACCTCCCATACTTTCAACATTTCCAGCAATTGTTTCTACAGGACTAAGAGCACGGGGATCGGGTATTCTCATCTGTTTGTTCATCCATTCTCCCATTGATCTCAAAATGGCTACCAAACACCTCATAGCTTCAAGTTTCATCATGGCATCCTGAGGTGGTACTAAGGTTGTCGCAGCACCAGAATGAGTACCTTGAGCAGTTTTAAGCAAACCGTTGACCATTCTACAGAGGGTGAAACAGTATGTTGAAACATGTTACTGTTGTTGTTAAAAAAATAAATAATAAAATAAAACCTGAAGCATGGATCTTTCTTGATGAGCAAGGCAAATGATATACAGATTTGAATGGATACTTGTGAAGAAGTATGTATAATTATCAATAATTTAAGGGTAACTGGATACTCAGATATTTCAAAAGATATTTTGAACACCCGGATTGTCAACCTAATTTAATTTAAAAAAAAAATTAGTATTGGCACTTCTGCAGGATAATCCAAACTTCTATTTTCAAACTCATGAGAATAAAAAAAATTAGGTGATAAGGCTATAGGCATTATATAACCTACTGGCAATTTTTTACAAGATGACTAATAGTTATTATTTTCTTTCGATTTTAGTACTAACTACTTAGCATGTATGCACATATGTTTCTAAACTCTAATTGATGTGAAACGTACATGATTATGGCTGCGTCTTTGTCTAAAAAAACATAGATGTAAGGGTGCTTCAGTCTATAGACCAGAAAGGTATGATATACTCATTGTTCGTATTATAGATATGCATGGCTGACGATGTCCTCATCACTAATGTATGCATTTTGTATGCCGTTATGGCTGCGTCTTTGTCTAAAAAAACATGGATGTAAGGGTGCTTCAGTATATAGACCAGAAAGGTATGATATACTCATTGTTCGTATTATAGATATGCATGGCTCATGTACATGTAGACATTATGATTTATTCGCCATATTGAGATATGTTTTTTCAAGACTTCTTGTTATTGTGTCCATGCTTCATAGATTTATGATAATCACAGAATTTTCAGCATAATTATTAACTGTTAATAAAACTATTTAGAGAAAATTAGAAATATTTGGATAAGTATATCTGAGCGCAAGCATAGGATGAAGGAACAAAGTATTAATACCTCTCAAAAATGTTTGGCGAGTGAACATCACAATCATAGTTAACAAAGATTTCAACTAAAATTTGAGAATCAATGCAGAGCTTTTCCAAAAATCGAAGCACAATCATCTTCTGTTGAAAATTTGGCTGAGCAACATTTTCCAAAACTCTCAGGATAATCATGGGAAAGAAGACTCCGATCTCTGCCTTTAGTCCGGGTCTAAATCTTGATATAAGGCTCATGAATAAGGAACAAGATAACTGAAAAACAATCATTAGAGGTGAAGCGCTGTTCTTTAATAATGACAAGCATAGATACTGCTTAATTGCTCCTAAAAACCTGTTAGATCGAGAACAGAATAATCGGTGATTTTACAAAATAATGCAATTCAGAGACTTAAAAAGTGGATAACGTAAGCTTATCTTCAACTCATTAAAAAGAACATTTCAACAATAACATAAAATAATGTTAACACCTTGTACATGCAGAAGGCCTAAATAGTAAAAAGTTAATATTGGCAAAAGTTTAGACTTAGATATCATAAGATAGAAAAAAATAAAAGTAAATGCAGAGATTTTTGTCCCAACCGGCATGCATTCAAGACAATCTAGGAGATAACAAGTTCTAGTTGTTCGTATCCAAACACAAGATAACACCATATGTCATGCATTGAAAATGCTGTGGATTCATCATATTTTAGGGATTGTTTGAACCACTATTGTGACATACACCACAGTTCAGATAGAATTATCATTAATATGTCAGTGCAATCCATAAACTAAACTTTATTTGGTTTAATGCTATTGACCTTAAATATTGCAGGCCTATCTATAAAGATTGATGATGATTATCATCTATTTATAGTCATCAAAATGGCTACTATATAGATGTCAAATAACATCTACCAGAGATTAGCCTAACAACAAAACCGTCAAAATCTTGAGATGTCAAAGCAAACCTGCCAAGCAACGCCTTTAATAAAATATGGTCCGACATCAAGTTGTCAGTGAATCAAACATAACCTCAGAATTCTTCATCAAAAATGTTTTTTATTTCTTTTTTGCCTCCTATATATAATATGATCAAATGAAGGTTACTTCTTACCGATAGTGTGCGCTAAAATAAACGGATCACATCCAAAAACTAGATCGTAGTCAATATAGTTAGCAGAAATACTTAAGAAGGGAAACCTTACAGACGAAACAACAAGGATTAATTTTGCCAAATTGATTACAATAGCAAAAGATTCAAGATATGGAGTAAACAAAGATAGAATAAAGGAAGGTCTCATCCAAACTAAATAAGCTACTACAAATGTCACCATAGATAGCAATGCGTACAGATATCATTCAAGGGAGTTTATGGAATCTTGGTTGAGAGGTAAAAAAGGTAACTATGGATGTATGGTTAAGTCATAATAAAGGTACCCTTATTAAGAATCTCAAATTCTATATTCTTAGAAACAGCAAATGTTTGTGATAGCATGTTGTGACAATAAGTTTAAACTTATAAATTTTACTATTTAAATATTAATATTAACTTTTGAATTGTAAAGATTGTATTTAAGTATAGTTGTAATTAATTAGTGGGAGTTTGTATTTGCATGCCTATGATGTTATCATATTTCTGAGGCTATGACTTTCGTATTATCTTTATTGCTTGTTGTGGCTACTTTATCTTGCAATTCGTTACATGATTCTAGAATGATTCCATTTTTTTTTTTTAATTTATCAACTCTTTTGCTAGATAACCTAATTTTGCGACTGTCTTTGTTCCCTTGATTGGAAGCGCCTCCAATGGTTCCTATAATTGATTACTTGATTTTTTGATTGATTTTGCCTTTGTTAGATAAGCTAGCTATTTTTGTTTGTTTATTTGGCAAAAGTGAATAGCACGCCATAAGTCAAAAGTCTCTGGGAGATATAGTACATAGTATATAGCGTAACTGATGAGGACATCGACAGACGCTACCGACATGTTTATCGACGACGGAATCGCAGATCGACGGCCACGATTCAGCGCCTCTACTTTTGATTCAGTTGTCATGATGTATTATTTAGTTATTTACTGTTTTCCGTTTTCACCCCTGTGGGGAGTTGTTTTGTTATTGTAGCCCAGAGGTCAATTTCGTACTTTTTCTTTTCATGAGTGGAGACCTATATATAGTGGTCTCATATGATATATTTGGTTAATGAATATTTGAATGAAATTTTATGTTGTCTTCTTCTTCTTGCATAAGAGCTAGAGAAGGGTGATTGAGCTCAAGGTGAGCGTTTGCAATACCCACCAGTCGTTGGAAGCGTCATCGACTCGTGGTTTATTTTATCTTATTGTTTTCTTTTCTAAGTTTTGGTTCTCCTTTTCCCCCACGCCAATCTCTACCCGAGATCCATCCCTCCACCACGTTATCCACTCGTTTCCTCCACTACAACTCCAAGCTCCGTTAAAACCACCCCAACCCCCCGACGGCAAGCCCCTCCTCCTCCTTGGGCCGCCGGCCACCACCTTGCTTCAAACCTTGATGATGATACTAATCATCATAATGACTCCTTAATTTAGGTTTGTGATAAAGGGAGAGTCTAGCTAATTTGAATTCAAAATTTGAAATTCAAATTTGATATTCAAAACTTTCCATAATTGCAAAAGTCCAAATAAGGAAAGATTTGAATTGAATCCAATTCAAATTTCGTGACATGGGGAGTTATTAATTCTCATCCTAAGTGGCAGCGACCTAATTGGAAAGCACATAATCCCTCCCTAATCTCCCTCCTCCCCTCTCTACATGCCGCCGACCCTATCAAAGGGGAATCCCCTTTAATGCTAGTTTAATGCAATCAATGCCCTTGATCCAAAATTCAAATTCCAATTAACTTCCCTCCAAATTTACTCAAATCTGAAATTAACTTCAGATTTTGTTTAAATCCCTTCATCCCTCCACCCTAACCGATTTTCCCCAAACCCTAGCCGCCTCCCTCATCTCTACCGCCGACCCCTTCCCCTTTTCTCTTTCCCACCTTGGTCGGCCCTCTCATTGCTTCCCCTCGGGAAGTAGAAGCCAAGAGAAGAAGAAGACGACACCTTCCCCCTCTCCACTTCAATGTTGAATGGCGGATCCCGAACTTGAATGGAGACTTGTGTTTGACGCCTACGGTAATATTAACATTCTACGATCTCCATTCTTGACGTGGGATTTGAACACGATGGCACCATTGGAGATTACTTGGACCATGGGCGGATCCCCATTTAGTTGAGGGGGGGGGGGGGGGAAACCCCTCAAAAATATTTTTTTTTTAATTTTAGTGAGATATTTTGAAATATTTTGGGTATTTTGCCCCCTCTCAAAAAATTTTTTTGCCCTCATTTAATCAATCCTAAGCATCTTTGCCCATCCCCCACAAAAAAAATTTTTTTTGCCCACCCTGAAAAAAGAAGCTGGATCCGCCCCTGACTTGGACCGAATTCTCCCCATCCTTGTGCCCCTCATCGACGATCAATTTTCGACTACGATTGGATCATCGTCGGCCACCCACCACCCTCTTCTCCACTGGCTACCTCTCCACCGACGAAGTTCTTCAAGGCCGTCTTCCTAGTGGTAATATCCTTCTTCATGTGGTTCATCTTCCTCCGCTAAAAGCTTACAAGTAGTTGAGTGAGAAGGCCCTTGAGGTGAACCTCTCGTTGTTAAACGTCGGATTATGTTATTTGTACTTAGCATTTAATTTTGCATTGAACTTTGAAAGAATTGTTTGGTTATTCTCTATTGCACGTCTTTGGCCTAAGCAAGTTGAATATTTCAAATTCATATATCTCTTTTATGCGCTAAAGATAACTTTATATGAGCAAAGCTTTAATCAACTATCTTTCTAATTTCTAATTGTAACTCCAAGTGGTTTCACATCAGTAACACACTAATTTAAACATCGTGCACGAAATTTAAAAATTATGGATAATATATTAATAATTCAACAATACAAGAGAGAATATATCATAGTGCAAAAATAACTATCAATGTTATAAATCTCGTACATGAGAATGCTTTAAAATATGTCACATAGCTAAACCATTTTCTTTAGCAAGACTTTTTTTTGGACAAATCTTTCCTAGGAGTTTGGCATAAATCCAGCATTCTCTTTTACATAGCTAATGGCATAAAATAAACTATGGAATATTCTGAAATCACATTGCCCTTAAGTAATAAGATTAAAATTCTAAATATTAATAAGATAAAGCTAGGTTGATGTGTTGAATCAAATTAGATCAAACAAAAAAATATATATTTAAAACAAAATTTGAGTCAAATAGTAGGGAAAACGAAAGAGTAAACATACATGCAAAATAGAAGTCATTTATGTTTGGTTTGGTATATGAGTAGAGCAAATGAAGTCCCTATCATTTTGTTAAGTCATCCTGAGCTAAATGAGTTATCGCCTCCACAAAAGCATACAAGGGAAGATGATTCATTGTACAGATGCCATCTCGGGAGTTTATTACGCAAAGAGGAGGTGAAGCTCACAATGTATGAAAAAGAGCCGTCCTCTTCGAAGAAATATGGACTACGAAGAGGAACCAAGCCGAGTGAGTGCATATGTGAGGGTTATCATGAGTGGAGCATTGAACCCTAATAAAAAATAATATTAATATTGAATAGAAATCGAATAATATTAATAAAAATTTTATGAAAAATAATAGAGAAATAAAATAGTGAGCACCACAAGGCAATGCGTCTAGCATTATAGCCAATCAATAGCGCATATAGTGTTTGCTATTTTGTCACCCTGAGCCTTACTACACAAATAGCACAAACAGTGCAACTCACCACGCTATTGGTAAACATGCCTATAATGTTCTATCAACATGTATGATGCTGGTTACTCTTACAGTTTTTGTATTCACATCTCGATGGCAGAAGCGTACAAGTGTTTGTTGTAACATTTTAGCAATGTTTGGTGGTTGACGATAACTTTTTTGATTTGATTCTATAAGGGTTCCATTCTTGGGCCCTTTTTATATTCCATGAAGATTATAAATAAAAACTTGAAGCAACTAGAACACAATTATATGGTTAATACATAACATTTTTTTTATGTGAAGTCCTTCCAAGATTCAACTCTTTGATTAAGGGTGAGCCTTGAAAATTCAGAGAGAGGTTATCACCTTGTATAGGTGTGAAACTTGCTTTTCAATAGCTTCTTCTATTATCTTTCTTTCTTAACCTCATTTAATTACTTTCTATTATTAGTCAAAAAAAGTGATTAAATTTCATCATACTTGCTAGAATATAAATTTCTTTCATCTCAGTGAATATGACTTTAGTGATCATAAACTTTCTTATCATTAATTTTAGGCAAATTTTAACTTTTTTTAATATTAGACATTCAAAACTATCATCCGTAAGGACAAACTATTCCATCATTCTAAAAAGATAGTAGTCAATATCTCTCTCTCTCTCTCTCTCTCTCTTCCTCTTTCTATCCCCTACCACCACCAAACCCCCCCACCCCCCCAAGTAGATGCTTTATTGAAGAAGATGAGCACAAAAAATGTGGCTCCTATTGTGAAAGAACTTAACATTAAATTGAAAGAATAGTTACAGAAGGATTGCATTGCAAATATGAAGATCACATAAGCACTGGGAGGGTTGCAAGATCATCAATAAGGTTCAAAGTCCAAAACAAGTTGAAGTGTTTTTTTAAGGAAAAAACAATAAATCTCATGACATATCTAGGATAATCCGTAACAACAAATGAACCTAAAAAGAAAAGTCATGCTCGTGGAGGATCACACAACTCAGTTGGTTGGAAGCCCAAGGAATGGACGTCAGTCAACCCAACTTGGAAAGATTTGGTCTTTGATTTGTTAGAATTTAGAATCCTTAAGTTATATGTTTCCTAATTTATAAGTTCATAAAATCCTTAAAAATAAGCATATTATTTGTTTATTTCTATTAGTTTTCTAATTTACTAAGTTGACTACCATTGGAAAAAAAAAATCGAATTTGTTCCTCTAAATTCTAGATGTAACCTCATGTCATTCCCTATTTCTTACAACGTGAATGACATACGATATATGAGGGTAAGAGTTCATATCCTTCTAAAAGGATAGTAGTCAGCTACCATCCTTTTAAAATAATAGATATAACTCTTTTTTATCCACTATTTCACTCTCCTTTGTAAACCATTGTGAGTAACTTTTTATCTCCTTTAAATTAATTCATTCAAAATTTATGATAAATGGTAAAGATGTTGAAGGGAAATGGATCAATCTTTCTAAAATTATGTCAGTCTAATCAGTGGTGGATCCAACTTCTTTTTTTAGGGTGAGCAAAATTTTAATTAGTTAGACAAAATTTAAAATATAATAATAATAATATAATGTCAAATAGTAATAATAATAAAATAATTTTTTAAAAAAATTAGCTAATATAATGTTATCAAATTTAAAAGAGAAAATTTTTATCATTTATCTTCCAATTTAAGAGTAGATCTAAAACGGAATATATGGAGTGTAATTTTAGTAGTAATAGACCTAGTGAGGGGATTGTGACTTTGGACGATCAAGTCATTAATAAGAGTACACGTTTTAGATATCTTGGATCTATTGTTCAGAGTGATGGGGAAATAGATGGGGATATTATCAACAGAATTCAAGTTGGATGGTTGAAGTGGAGGAATGCATCGGGCTTGTTATGTGATAGAAATGTACCCCTCAAACTTAAGGGAAAATCCTATAAGATGGTAGTGAGGCCTGCAATGCTTTATGGTGCCGAATGTTGGCCTTTAAAAGAGAAGCATAATACTAAGTTAAGTGTGGCAGAGATGAGGATGCTTAGGTGGATGAGTGGCTTTACCCTTAGAGATAGGATACGAAATGAGCATATACGTGAAAAGGTTGGAGTAGCTCCAGTAGAAGATAAGATTAGAGAAAGTCGCCTTAGATGGTTTGGTCACATAAAACGGCGGCCTTGCGATGACCCGGTTAGGAGAGTAGAGGTATTAGATTTGACTTATGTTAAGAAAGGTAGAGGTAGACCTAAAAAGACTTGGTTAGAAAATATTAGGAATGACCTTTCTTTTTTAGATTTAAACGAGAATTTGACTTTTAATAGGACACAATGGAGAAAAAGGATTCATGTAGCCGACCCCACGTAGTGGGATAAAGGCTTGATGTTGTTGTTGTTGTTGTTGTATCTTCCAATTTAATATTGATTTTAGTAATAATATAAGCTGGAGTAAAAAAAACTATTGCTTCATTATTTTGACTTCCAAAACCTTTCGTTTTCAAAGTTTGAGTGCAATAATTTCTTCTTCTTTGCTATTCACAATGAAATTAAACCTACTCAAAATGAAATTAAATAAAAATTTGTCCACTTGTTTGGCTGAGAAGAATCTAAAAATTGAAGATAAAAGCAACCAAAATACTTCGGATGGATGGACAAACAATGCGAGATGGTTCATATTAGAGCAAAAATTTATTTTGAGGGAGGGCAGAATTCCAAAATTCTCTCTTTTTTTTTAGGATCTGCCCTCACCTAAGTGGGGATCTGCCCATGAGCTTAACTCTTTCTCTCCATGTTAAGTTGTTAACCTTTTAGAATAAAATCATTCCTTTGCCCATCTCTTTTGCCTTCCATCAAGAAATTTAAATGGTTATTTTAGGCAAATTTTAGTTTTTTTTCAATATTAGACATTCAAAACTATCATCGGAGAGTGAAAGATCTGTAAGGACAAGCTACTCCATTCTG